ATGATGGGCTCGAGTATAGCAGGGATTGTGGGGCTGGCGCGGGATCGGGCAGTGTTTCGTTCTGCTGTGCATGGGGTCGCTATGAGTCGGAAACGACTCCATGGCACTTAACAACAACACAAAGGCTAACCAGGGGAGCTCTGGTGGCCTTAGGCATGTGACTACTAACCAGAAGGCTGGCGGTTCAAACACACGAGGCACTCCTCAGAAGGAAGGTTGGCCAATACTTCTGTAGAGATACCGCCTGCGAAACCCAAGGAACGGTCGCAATGAGTCGGATCCGACTCACCGGCACTGAGTTTGGTTTTTTGGCTTATCTACAACTTTACAGTCTAAAAATATGATGTTTTATTCACTATTTTTACAAATTTTCATATTGAGGAGCACATCCAGGAAGGAAGCTTTTGATGAAGCGAATAGAAATTGTCAATTCTCTTCCAGTTAATTACTGGTTGATGGTAGAGGGAGCGCGTTAGAGTTCATTATACTCCGGACCCCGGATATCATGCCGGGTAGGAATCTTCCCTGTGTTCTAAGGCGACCAGAGGGCGGGAACTCCGCGACCATAGAGCTGGCGGAACGCCGGGGTAGAGGGGACCGGAAGTCGTTTCTACGCCCCCCGCCCAGGGGCCTGATTTGGTCTCTGTGGGCTGGTGTACGTTCAGGTCGCTGTCAGAGGTTCGTTCGGCTGGAAGACTTGGTGTTGAGGGGTGAGCTTTCTCGGGTACTCCACTACGGGCCCACGGAAAGCCTAGTGAATTATTTGGTCTCCTAGCAACGAGGGACAAGGCCGCGGGAGGGAGCTGCGGCGCTGGCCAAGCTGCTGTGGCCCGAGCCGGAACCGTCAGGCCCGGCCCAAACGGGAGCAGAAACCCAGACCATTGAAGAAAAAGCAGGAAATGGCGGACGAGGCGTTGTTTTTGCTTCTACATAACGAGATGGTATCTGGCGTATACAAGTCCGCGGAGCAGGGGGAGGTGGTGAGTGCTGCTACAAACTCTTGAAGTCCTTTTGCAGTGACAGTACCTGTTTCCCCTAATTCTTTCCTCAGTCTTTGTTCCATCGCCAACCGACTCCCCCAAGGTGTAGCCAAATTGGTCCACGTCTAGTATCCTAAACCCTAGAACCTACCAGCTGTCTTTTTTTATATTTCAGTGTTTCGTTTCTCTTTCTTCTGATTCCTTTTTGTCTGTTCCTCTCTACCTGTGTTCTGCAGGCTACATATTTTTAGTGCCCTTACCGTGTTTTACGGCAGCGTTAACTGCAGAGTTGACGTGGGCATTCATACTTTATTTTGCTGTCACTTCCAGAACTAAGGACTGGAGAGACGTGTCCCAGCCCGAGAATCCTGTCTCTCCCTTTTCATCTCGACCTCCTACTACTAGTCCACACAACATAACAGGAGCCTGATGAGGGTATGAGGTCAGACAAAGGGAAGCTTGCAGGAGTTATGATAGTTAGGAAAAGCAAATTAATTTAGAAAATACTTGTTTAATGACTGTTATGGTTTGAATTGAATTGGGCCACTTCAAAATATGTGTTGGAGTTCAGACAAGTGGATGTAATCCTATTTGGAATAGGTTTTTCTAATGAGACTACAGTGTAGGTCTTGGGCCAAACTTAATTACAGTAAAACCTGTGAGAACAAAAACTTGATGGGACTGCCTAGTATTTTGTGCTCTTGCACATTTTTCGTCTTTGACAAGTTGGAGACTTTCCACTTTTACATCGCTCGTTTTAGTGGAAAATATTTGTGTTTTTCTTCTCTGACAGTTTTCTGCTTTATACAGGTTCCATCTTTCACAGGTTTTTCTGTACTTCTGAATCATAAAAAGAGTGTGTTAGACACAGAAGACTCAGGGAAAGACAGATGCTCTGTGATGAAGACAGAGTCAGATAATTTACAAGCTCAGGAACTCCAAGGATTGCCAATTTATAGAAAGTGAAATAGACAAAGAAAGACCTCTCCCTGGAGCTACACTATGAATTTGGACTTTTGAACTGTGGGAAAGTAAATTTCTATTCTTTAAAGTCATCCACTTGTGGCGTTGCTTTTACAGCAACTCTAGGAAAGACGGTGACTGTTAAATGTCAGGGCTTGTTTAAGGAGCTAGGGATGTAGTGGTGAGCAAAACAATATTCTCATCCTCATGGAGGCTATGTTTTAATATGTGGGAGTTCTTTTTCACTCGTTTATTTATTGTGTATTGTGGGTCTGACACTGTGCTAGATGGTTAGGAAAAAACCTCTGCCTCACAGGAGATATAATGAAATATTTAAGTATTGGGTGAAATTAGATACAGAATTAGGGAGTTGTAAATTTATTGTACTGTGAAGACTTGAATGTTGTGATGCTGGAAGCTATGCCACCAGTATTTCGAATACCAGCAGGGTCACCCATTGTGGGCCGGTTTCAGTGGCGTTTCCAGACTCAGAGACTAGGAAGAAGGATTTGGCAATCTGCTTCTAAAAGAATTGGCCAATGAAAACCGTATGCATAGTAGCAGAACATTGTCTGATATAGTGCCTGAAGACAGGCACCTCAGGTTAGAAAACACACCAAATATGACTGGGAAAGAGCTGCCATCTCAAAGTAGAGTCAATCTTCATGATGTGGATGGAGTAAAGCTTTCAGAACCTTCATTTGCTGATAAGAGCATGACTCAAAATGAGAAGAAACAGCTGCAAACATCCATTAATAATTGGAACATAGAATGTATGAAGTATGAATCTAGGAAAATTGGAAGTCATCAAAAAATGCAGTGGAACACATAAGGATCAGTATCTTAGGTATTAGTGAGCTGAATGAACTACTATTATTTTGAATTGGAAAATCATTTGGTCTGCTATGCTGGGAATGACAAATTGAATGAGCAGTGGTATTGCATTCATTGTCAAAAAGAACATTTCAAAATCTATCATGAAGTATGCTGCTGTCAGTGATAGGATAATACCAATGTGCCTACAAGGAAGACCAGTTAATATGACTATTATTCAAATTTATGCAACCACTAGTGCCAAAAATGAAGAAATTGAAGATTTTTTATTAACTTCTGTAGTCTGAAATTGATCAAACATGTAGTCAAGATGCATCGAGAATTACTGGTGATTGGAATGTGAAAATTGGAAATGAAGAAGGATCAGTAGCTAGAAAATATGGGCTTGGTTATAGAAATGACACCAGAGATCCCATGATAAAACTTTGCAAGACTGACAACTCACTCATTGAAAATACCCTTTTTCAATATCATAAATGGCAACTATACATGTGGACCTTGCAGATGGAATACACAGGAATCAAATATACTATGTGGAATGAGGTGACAGAGAAGCTCAATATCATCAGTCAGAACAAGGCCAGCGCTGACTATGGAACAGACCATCAATTTCAAGTTCAAGGTGAAGCTGAAGAAACTTAAGTCTGCAAAAGGCAAACTACATCCTTGAGTATATTGAATTTAGAGACCATCTCAAGAATAGATTTGGCTCACTGAACACTAATGACTGAAGACCACTAGAGTTGTGGGAAACATTAAGAACATCATACATGAAGAAAGCAAAAGGTCATTAAAAAGACTAAAATGGATGTCCAAAGAGACTCTGAAGCTTGATTTTGAACTTAGAGTGGCGAAAGGAATGCAAGAAATGATGAAATAAAAGGGCTGAATAGAAGCTTTCAAAGAGCAGCTTGAGAAGACAAAGTAAAGTATTGTAAAGAAATGTGCAAAGGCTTGAAGTAAGAAAACCAAAAGAGAAGAACATGTGTGGCATTTCTCAGACTGAAAGAACCAAAGGGAAAAAAAAATCAAGACTTAAGTTGCAATATTGAAGGATTCTATGGCAAAATACTGAAAGACACAGGAAATGTCAAAAGAAGATGGAAGGAATACACAGAGTCACTGTAATAAAAAGAATAAGTTGATGTTCATTTGTTTTGGGAGGTAGCATATGATCAAGAACCAGTGGTAATGAAGGAAGAAATCTAAGGTGCATTGAAAGCACTGGCGAAAACAAGGCTCTGGGAATTGACAGAATACCAATAGAGATGTTTCAACATATGGATGCAATGCTGGCAGTGCTCACTTGTCTGTGCCAAGAAATTTGGAAAATAGCTACCTGGCCAGCCAACTGGAAGAGATCTATATTTGTGCCCATTCCAAAGAAAAGTAATTCAACAGAATGGAAATTACTGAACTGTATCATTAATATCTTACATAAGTAGAGTTTTGCTGAAGATAATTAAAACAGTTGCAGCAATACATCAATAGGAAACTGCCAGAAATTTAAGCCACATTCAGAAGAGGCTGGGGAATGGGAGATGTCATTACTAATGTCATTTGAATTTTGGCTGAAAGCAAAGAATATGAGAAAGATGTTTACCTGTGTTTTACTGACAATGTAAATGAATTTGACTGCATGGATCAAAACTAATTATGGACAACATTGTGAAGATTGGGAAAATTTAATTGTGCTCATACCAGCTTGTACATAGAATAAGAGTCATTAATTCAAAAAGAACAAGGCGATACTGCCTGGTTCAAACCAGGAAAAGTATGCATAAAATAACACTAACATATAGTGCTCACAGACACAGTTGAAAGGTATGGTGGTTTGATACTGAGAGGTTGAGTATAGTTCCTGAGGACGGTGCTTGGTGACACCACTCTAGCTGATCAGGTGTGTGCTGCCTGCTTAACGGCTGTCTGCAAAACAAACACTGCATGCTAGTGTTGCTCTTTGCCTTTTTTCATAAAAGCAAAAATCCTCTGTGGATTTCTTTTGATTAAGGAAAATAGGAACTAACGAAGGTCTTTTGTAAAAGCAAAGTGGTGTAAAATGAACTTTGAAAAAGCGGAGGATACTGGTATCGAAAATCACCAGAAAGAGCCCTTTGTATAATGCTGTTGATAAAGAAGAATGAAAGTGTGGGATAGAAAAGCATCCTCACTCTAAGTAAAAGCATTGAGGAATGAAAGTTTGTGGTGTATTGAAATACAACTACCCCCCCTGCTGTTACCAACTATCTAGTTATTAGACATCGAGCATTTATAGCAGTAGTTAAAAATCTATTGTGACTGTTTTGCACATTACAACGTATGACTGGCAGTAACGATTCCCAAGGTGTGAGGTTATAGTAACACTAACTGTGATGGTTAAGGATATGTGTCATCTTGGCAGACCATGATTCTTAGTGGCTTGGTGGTTACAATGATGTGATTTGGCAGTTACATAATGTTGTAATTTGACAATTGTGTAATGATGTAGTCATCCTCCATTTTGTGATCTGGTTTGGTCATCCTCCATTTTCATGTAATAGTGATTTTCAAATAATGATCTTGTCTTTGGAACCTAAGCATATTGATAAGTGAGAAGTAAGTGTGTGCTTAAAGACTTCATTGTGTTTAAAGATAATTCTTTTGAATTCCTTATCAGAGAGTTCCAATGCTGCTGCTTCCTCAGGGATGTATTCTGGGTCTG